GTAAATAGATCTGTTGCAATACCTACTTATGTATACCATATGGACTATTTAGGTAACGGTAGAAAATTCATACCTACAATTTTCCTTCAAATATCTTTCCAAGACAGCACTACGCCTGAATGACTGCAGTCGCGCGATATGTGCACAGGCTTAATATTTAATACCTAACTAACATTCGTATGACGCCGTGCGCTATACCGATATTAAATTTAAACGTGACATAATAACGTCTTCCTCAAGTGTACGTTCGATGTGTGTTATTAACGTCGAACGGAGCCTCGTGGACATGCATTTTATATGCGACCGTTAGGTGCAAATGCGGGTTTAATTAATGGTTTGTTACAGCAAACAGTATTCGTTTCACCGTAAATCATTAACGACAGTTTAAGTCGATTAAAATGTTCACATATTCTGAAATGACTATTGTTAATTTTTGTCGATACTTTTACCATATCTTGACAAGTTTAACCGAACGTAAATTGATTTCGATTAACAGCATATTATGCGATACCGCTGGAATATTTTAAATTTCGAGCTTGAGTTTACTGATTCGCGATATTTTCCGATGTGAATCCGTCTAAAATTGTAATATCAGCCACCCTATTGCCAGGTACATCGACGCCGAGTCGATCGCTTATATTTGATTTGAAATTCGCGCGTTGCGTCCATTGGACCCCCCATGGCGCTCTGGGCAAACACTCCACAACACTTTAAGCAACTCTGAAATTCGTTGAAAAACGACGACTCCCGCTTATCTTATTCCTTCGAACAACAGTTACGTAAATATGGAAAGAGTTCCCGGGGTGCCGCGGTATTTCATTATCCATGACCTGTTGAACGCAAGATTTGTGACTCATCTCCTTCACGTAACGTAGCCTTCGCAATACGATTTTTTTCGTTTAGCTTATCAAATTTTCGTACGTGCAAGCGCTTTCGTTGATAGCGAAAGCTTTATCGAAATCTATCTTCGAGTAAATAGGCCAGAATTTAATAAAGTCGACGTTGTTTCGCGACATTGCGAATTTGGATAACCGTTTAGCAAATCCGTTCCGTTACGGGGAGCGTAAAATTTGTCGATGTTACGTTGGGCTTTTTTATCTGTAGGTATGTTTGTGGAGCGCTCGGTAGCCTCCGGTTCGGCACTCGGGCTTCCGTTTAGCGGCAATCAGGCCCAGGCTGCGACGCTCTGTCAATACAGAGGCGAGAGGTTTCCCTGATAAACTTATCTCCCGCCCCCCTCGTAACCCTTCCCTGTCTGCGTTTATCTCTCACGTATGTCGTAGTCCCGCCACACGCTCCCCGCTTTACTCGACGCGTACTTTTTCGACTTTTTATATCGACGCGTTAAATCGCACTTAGAAGTGTGATCATTTTTCTTTCGACGTAAACTCGAGCCTTGTATCATGCGTTCCAATTTTATTACTCCACATATTAGTGATAAGGACTGCCAAACAGCTTACCGCCCTTTCCCGCATCTTCAATTTATATTAATATAAAACAAGTTAAGATATTTTATTTTTTTATAAAGCTGTCTATTTGGCTGTCTGCCCATAGTCCGCCACAGGAATTCAAAGGAAACAGAAATTCTACTACAAGGAAACAAACGCAAAATCTTATAAAATGCAGTTAACGTCAACACACATACGGCCTGGTTCAGTGAGCATGCACTCTTGCGAAGTTGCTTTATTTTCTTGCTCGCGCCAAGCCGGAGGAATCTGAAATAAGGTCCGCTAACGCCAAACTTTCCACCCCTTGAAAATCTTAGTGCTCAGCCGCTGTAACTCGCCGCGGAAACCTCAACTATATATTTTGTAATGTTAACAACATTTAATTTAAGCGTCTTTGTTCAAAAGGTCCCCGCCCGGCCCGGCTGGCAGTAACTCATCGGCACCCGCAATATAATACAGACTGTACCTTCCCGAATTAATAAATTTGACCCGGCTGTATCTATTTAAACGCATAGGCTTTACTCGTAATTCTCCGCCGTTTCATTCCATCTTTCTTATTTCGACACTTTTTTATGTTCGCTCCAAAGACCGTAAAGGTGAATTAAAAAAACATCAACCGACCCCCATTGTGCCGGGAAAGTGTAATTCTAAAACACCCTTAGACAAAATAAAAACATAAATGATGCTTAAGTAATGCTTCTGTTTCAACGAAGTGATTTATTCCACGTGTTTCGAAGTGCTTACAAAATCAATGCTCTTAAAAGGTAGGCACAATTCTTCGCCTCCGAATTTATTGACATTACTGTTTTACCTTAAAAGGTTTTCACTCAAAATCAATCGAGCGAAAATTTAATGACTGCTTTCAGATTCGTATTAATTCACCTTTACGTGCGAATGTTCAGCGAAGTGGTGGAGCATAAAACGCGGTGTTTTCTCGCGAAACAATTAAATTCCTCATACATGGATGGGATTAGTCGGCGAGTTCGGTGAGCCAGGGCGAGGCGGTGAGCCGGAGCCCTAGAGCACTTCTCGAGTCCGCTCGAGCGTCTTGGCGCGGTGTCGAATACTACTCGATTGCTGCGATCGATATATCGGCTGGAGGGCGCGCCTACCTAGCTGGGGCTAAATACAATTTACCTTTGTTATTTTTCGTGTCATTAAACTGCGTCGCGATCTCGAACGCTCGATCGGGATTGCGAACTCCGATGCGAATTGTTTGTGAGCTTTTGTTTCCCACTCCGCTCGCCAGCGACGCGACATCAATTAACGTCGGATCCCCGCCGACTGAATTTTCTTCATGGCACGTATTATTTATAGGTAGCTACAGAATGAAATCATTTTCCACTGCCAAACAATACTTAGAATAGATTTGTTTTCACGTTTCCAGCGAAACGTTGCAGAGATAGTACGGGAGTTTTAACAAATTTCGGTGTCGCACTATCTTAGTTTGGAAGCAGGCGGGCATTTATTCTGGCATGTCCCCTCGGTTGCGTGCTGCCGAACAAATGGAGGGTGGCCACGGCACTAGCGGCCGCTGGCGTAGGCGCTGTTTCATTTGTAAAGCTTTATCGGACCTGACAAATGGCGACACTCACTATTTTTATGTCGCGGACGATCGAAGAATACCGTTCATGTTACGGAACGATTTAGCTTCGTAACGTATTGTGAAAGTTTCGCACAGTGAACTTTCGACATACAGAATTCGGAAAACACACCCAGCGTTCGGGGAACTTTTGGTTTCTTTTATTTTCATCTTGAAGACGACCGGTTCCTTTATTATGGAGACTCATAACCCCAGGTTATTTAACATGTTGATTATACAGTCTTATCTAAGCAGAAAACTTGGCGGAAAGACACTCAACGCTGTAAAGCCCCGCACTCACTTCGCCGCGTTAATGCAAAAGCACGTAGTTCCATGTCGGCGCAGAAAGTTGTGCAAAGTGCACAAAGTGCGCGAACGCCGTGGCAAAGCCTTCATTTGTCGGCTCGTGACGGCCCGTGACAAATGTGGACGGCTCCGCTCGCCGTCGAGGACGCACCGCGATTATGCACAGCTATGAAAAATGTCACTGTAAACTTCACTCGCGCGCTCCAAACGATTCATTACCAACTTTTAAGCGCGTATTACTTAACATCTTCAATCCCAAACAAGATACGAAAGTAAATTTAAAGCGATCTATCCACTGACTTTAATTTAAGCCTACGTACTTTTCTGTAACGATGCTACTTGGTAGCGAAAATCCTATTGCTAGAGGTTTGGGTTAGCGTAGATTGGGTAATTTATACTTGCCTCCCGCCCTCCCTCTGCCGGGGAGGAGATACGAGTACCGAACGGAGCCATACTCTCCGTTAAAATTACTTAATAGATCGATTAAGCGTACGTTTGTAATTACTTCGTGAATTAATCTACTTAAGCAAACACTTTAAAAAGGTGATAGGAATCTTACAAACGTTTAACGTAACTTTACTGGTTGAAAACATGACAAGATACGACATAATGTCGCCAATAATTACTTGGCTGCTCGTGAAATTTGTCCGGTTGTATAATAAATATTTAATGATAAGCTCCTTGACTCGGCAAAGCAAATTAAAATTCAATTTGTGCCTCGAACCGTGAAGCATAACGGATTGTCAACCGATTTCGTCACCCCCTTTCTGCCATAATTTCTTGACTCACTCGATCTCGAGAAGGCAGGAGTATTTGTTCAATCCCGGTGACTTATTAGAATTTAGGTGAATAGCACAATTGAATCTTCATATTGTGAATTATCTTTGTTTCTTTGTCGAGCTATTACCGTCCTTCAAAGAAGACATCTTTTGAGCTAGCAAGAGCGGGGCATGTAGTCTGTGTGTTAGTGCTCTTCGATGCAAACCGGCTTGATGTATGGAATCGCATTATCTTTTACAACGTGCTACAGCTACTCTTAAATATGAATATGTGGCTTTTACGTCATCGACTTCATTTTCTTCTAATAGATATTTACGAGGCCAAAATGCATTCATCATCATCATTTTAGCCATAGGACGTCCACTGCCGAACATAGGCCTCCCCCAATGATTACCACAATGGCCGGTTGTGGAGTGGAGGCCACGTACCGGAAAGCGCAGCATAGAACGTCCACCCACAAGGTGCACCGACGACCTCATAAAATACATTGAATGGGGATGTTGCCTGGGTCAAAAAGCAAGAGTTTTAATTAGTCCGTCAGTTAACTTATCAAAAAATACTCTACACGTATTTTTCACTTTTTAAAACTAATGATATAATTTAAAGAGATAAAGCGCCCCAAAGTTCATAAGAAGAGGCCCGTGACGTCAACGCTTGCTTAAAAATGCCGCACGTTGTGACGTCGTGCGCAACTTCAACGCACCATAACTATGTAATTATTTGTTAGATTGACAAATAAAATTATATGTGTCCAATATTTTTTGATATTAAACATTACGGACTAAAAAAATTTTTTTAGGCAACTAGCCTATTCTGTAAAATTTTCCTCACTTTATCTTTGTGTAAGTAGAGATTTGAATAAAATTTTCGCTGTTTTGTTACAGGTGGAATGCAAAAAAGCACAGCCAAAAGAAGTAATGCTCCCAGCGAATCTGGCGAAGACGAGAGCCGCCGGTCGCGGCGCGTACGGTGAGTTGCTAGGAACCGCCGTGGCGGCCGGCGCCGGCAGCGTCCGGTACGCCCCGTACCCTGTCCATGCGCCGCAGCTGCTGGTCGCGGGCGCGGGCGGCTCCGGCGCCCACGCCGCCTACCGGCGCGCCCTGGCCGCCCTCCGCCCCGCTCCTCGCCCCCCGCGACCCACCCTCGCCCCCCTCGCCCTTCCCCCCCTCGCCTACTCCGTCTCCGAACTCCTCGGCGCACACGCACTCGATATCCCAACACTCTACTCCCCTCTCACTCACACCACCATCCCGACCCCTCTGCCACTCTGATCCGCGATCCTCTTCCAGCAACATCCACACCACCCCTTCTAATTCCACTCTGTGCATTCCTGCTGAATCTTCTCCTTTCCATTCCTACTTTCTCTCACATTCCTCCTCTCCTACAGAAATGACAATACTAGATTATCTAAAGCAACTGATAATATCCAAAGTGTCTTATTTTTAGTAAATGCCATTAGACGATCAGTTAGATAGCGGATTTTCGAAATGTTTACGAACATTAGAAAAGCCATAGTAAAATCAGTTTTATGAGATGATTTACATAAATATCATATTGTTATTGACATATTTAATTATGTAGACGAAAAATCTGGAACAATTTTAAGTAGGGTTCATAGAGCAATATTTTTCTATACCAGGTAGTAGGTGCTTAATGCGATTTATTAATAGATAGAAGAAATAGTGGAGAGCCTGGTGTTGTTTTGGTTTCGAGTAGAGTTAATGAAACACAAACAGGGCCGTATTGGCCGCGCTGATCCTTGCCAGTATTCTGTCCATCCATGTTGGAACTACGTTTAGCGAGCAGAGTCTAGTCATGTCATTGATTGCGGACGATTGGTGAATATTTCTCAAAACTATTTTCATAAATTGAACTTTTATATTCCTTAGCTTTTTACCATGATAGCTTTACAGTTTGATGTCGGCTTTTCAAAAATGTTGTCAGTGGATGAAAAGAGGTACCTATTATCTTTGGATGTTATATGAGTTTTGTGAGAATTTTAGACAATGTTGTTTATATTTTAATTTATTACAACTGTATGTAAGATATTTGAACTTAGCCTAGGTACTTAATTAAATGCGTTAATATGTGTGTTCTTAGTCAATTTAAATTTAAGTTTACTATATTTATTTGAATCCTTACTCTTTACATATATTTATTATTTATTTATAATTTTTATGCATTGCCAAATTAGGACCAATATATGTTCACTATTAGTTATATTTAGTTTTGTATCTTCTGATACTTCATTATTAACTTATGCTGTTGTATTAACAGTAAGATTATCATCCAAGTTTGTATTCAAACGTAGCTCTCGTAAACTAATAGAATTAATTGTATTAACTTATTAAGTAGGTTTTTCGGTAGAATTTAGAGTAATAAATATCATTTCTAAAATATTTAAAAACGTCTGTTTGTTTAACATGTTTAGCTTAGACTAACAATGTGTAGAATAGATTAACATTTCAAGTATATATGTCATCGAATCTGATGATCGAGCACTAACAAACCCCATCAAGTAAAAAAATCACATAGAAATTGTTTGGTGTTAGAAACTTAGTAATGTTGAATGCTCTTTATAAACTTAAACTAAGTATATATTATAATATCTTCATCATATATAAGTAATTATCCAGTATTTGTATAAGATAAAATTTTCTCGCCAAGCAAAATAGTGTCTCACGGCACATATTACAAGTATTCATATTTATCTTAAATGTTAAAAAACACACACATATTTAAAATGTAAGGTGTAAGGATCGATCGATTTATGTAAATGTTTTTACATTTCTAGATTTCATGTGGTCATTGGGGGCTCTTCCTGATGGTAAGTTGATTCACTTTTTTTTCAAAGTCACTTCACATTTTTCTGCTCCTCTTGCATCTATGATCATTGCACGTTCTACAACTGACATCTGAACGGTGTTGTCAAAGTGCTAACTGGGGTACCGAGACGGATCAGGGCATTAATCAGAACTGCGCTGACTTACTTAATTGTTGCTTAATGTCTGGTCATTTAATTAACGGATATTGGTGTGTCGCTGTAGCTGCGTCCGCCGGGTGATGGATCGCGTGGCCTGACAGATACACTATTTTGATTGGCAATAATATGATAAACGATCCGGTGTAGTAATCATATCAGCCGATGTGGACGTCCGGCCATCATTCATTTTGCATTTTACAACGGACTTCACGTTGTTAACGAAACCGATGGTACGAATTACTATTTAAATTAAACCTTTAAAAAGTAATGTACTATTCGTTTCGCTGTATTGAACTAGAGTAGACCTGTTTGATATGTTGGTAATTTAGTTTGTTATGAAAACACGGTAGGTATCTCTTGTTTGAAGCCGTCCCAGTCCACTTAGACTATGCTACATTAAACGATGTTTACAAAATATCATGCGCTGGACATTATCCAACACGATGTCGTACCGAGCATGTACTATATTTGCCTATCTTGTATTTGACGCCTCTATTTTAGAATCGGGCCACCGGGACACTTGTTAAATACCAAAAGTTTATCGGTTGGCGAATCGGTAGCGGCGCATTTTACTAATAAACGAGAGCATGCAGACTGTTTTAACCTACGCTTTTCATCTGTGCTCATGTTAGTTTAAGTGAATAATTCTGTTTTTTTGTTGCACAGGTTTTCCCGCAGCGTACGCCGCCTATGCGGCAGGACGTAGCTATTCGGGCTATCCTAGCTTCGGGCTGCCGTACCCAGCAGGTAATCCCCTGGCGAGCTTGCACCACCAACTCTCCGGCAATCACTACCACCACCTGGCGACACTCCTGCCTTACCACCCCCTCGAGCTCAGCGGGGTTTACAATGTACACGCCATGCATCTGTGAACTCGTGTAGGCGACAATGCATTCCACTAACGCTAACCGCTAACCCTCGATCGGCACCGAATCGCTTACCTACTGACATGCCACTCATTTACAAACTAACGCATACGCTAATTCTCGCCTACTCTCGTGACTACGTCCTAACTTCCCATTCCGACTAACTCGTCCCATGACAAAAGTTCGTGTGAACTCACTAACAACTTTACTAACAAGTTAACACGTCTAACAATGACTGAACCATCTAGATAAATCTGCCACGCCGTCAATTACAAAACGTCCATGTTTTGAGAAGTGCTACTTATTGTTTATCTCCAGAATTTTGTCGAGACAATCCGGCCAATTGCGAGCGCCTCGCTCTATGTTTACAGACGATTCGCCCTAACGATTCTCAAATGTTACGCGTCAGGCAAACACTCCAGCGCAAACACCGCCCCCTCGCCTGCTCCGCCATCGCCATCCCGCTCCTCATTAACAGAGAAAGCTTTTAAAAGAGATTTAAACAGATTCAAACAAAAGTATAGAAAAAGTGACGTCCTTTTTGTGGTGACTTCTATGTAAATCTCGGGACGAAAGAAAAAAGATTTTTCACTAATTAAAAGAAGTCCACCGGAGGCTCCGGTCGATCCCGTCGAATGGGACTAGAATGTTAATTTTTGAGAGGCCTTTATTATTCTATCTGGGTTAGTTTGTTGCGCACTCCTGTGAAACACTAACCTTTGAAGAATAGGCGTTCGGAGGGTGGGCGAGGGGCGCGGGCGGCGGGCGCAGCTGCACAAATACTCTTCTCGTTATTTGTCCACACTCGGTGTTTGAGCCGCCTCCGCTCCACCATAATTACGCCACTAAGCTTTGGCTTTCCAGTTTTTTGTGGCCGGGGCGCACGCCGCACAAAATTTTTCGTTCGGACATAGACGGAATCTAGAAATGCCGTTCGAAATTCTTAATTGACCGAACGAGACGCAAAGCGCGGTACTTTTCGACGTTTGGCGAATACGATTGATGTTATCACTGCGGAGCGGTGGCCGAGTTCGGTCAAGTTTTTCTTTCGTATTAGTCGCACAAATCGTTCCGCGTTAATTACTTTCCACTGGGCGTTTTGCGGCACGCGAGTCGGACGTTTCTAACGTTCACTAAAAGTCGGTGATTGTGTTCAATTGTAAATATAATTGAACAATGGAGCGGCCCAGTAATTACACAGGTGTTCGAACGAGCCGTTCAAATTAATGGCATTATCGAACGCAAGTCAGCCGTTCCGACGCGAGCTCAATCGCAGCTCCGACTGAAAGATAACACGCGCGCACGGTACATTACGCCGCCTAACGAAGCTCGGAGCTTCTTCTGTCGTACTTTAAACTTCTTGCTTCGGCCAAGCCTTTACTGACACACAAGCACAGTCGACGCAATCCAACATGTGAATTTACCGCTCACGAAAATCCGCTTCCTTGCCAGCGGTTAGCTATAGGACCGCAGTGTGCGTGCGCTACCGCCACAATTAATGTGTGCCTATTTCACCCATTTAGCATTCCTCGGCCAGCGCCGCTACCAGCTTATTGGTAACATCACCGATATCTAGGCTGCCATAAATCATACCGTTTATGGATCCGGTCGCAACCGGTTAATTAAATTGCACGATGTGAATATTAATATGAAGGATCCGTGCGCTGCGGTGGAGACATCACGCGCTTTTAATTTCATTTTATTACGGAGACGCGGTCGTCCTTTGATGCAGCAGATGCGATGACAAAGTGCAGCGTCGTCGGCCGCAACTTCGTCTCGGGCCTTTAATATGGAGTAGTCTCCTGAAACTTGGGAAACGACTGCGCGTTCTGTCGGAGAAAGACGGTTTTCGAACGTATATAAACAACTTTGTTAGTTTCTAATGGTACGGAATTAATGTTAAATAATACGCGACAGTGCGCTCTTAGTGCACTTTAGCACGTTTTAACCGCTGAATATCTTTTCGGGAGCAGGGAAACGTTAGCTCGGCTCGCGGCGGCCGCAAGGGCGCACTTTTCACATAGTTTGCGGTACGTCTACGAATAAGTTTAGAAAAATTTCCACTTAACTGCGATCAGTCAAGCGGGAAGAAACGAGATGCTTCTGAATTGCAATAATTTATTAATAACTTTGTGAGCTAAGGCAGTAGTAGGTCAGAGATAATCTCAATAATCAATTTAGATTTAGACCGACTAGTTTGCTGTTCTAGTATAAACTTAGCGTGTATATTTTATCTTCTTCCTCTATACTATATTAGACTTAATCATATTAATCGTCGATTAGGTAGAAGTAGTGTTTGATAGCGGCAGTATATCGACTAGATATTCCTCTGCATAGCATGCTATAGTAGACTAGCGTTTGGATTCAATAGGCATAGGTGAAGCCGAACACAACGATGTGATTAATGGGTTTGCATTAAAATGGATGAGATTTGCTATAAAACCTATTGATTTTTCCACTATCCGCCATTTAGTTATAAAAGTGCCGTAAAATGTTTGTGGATTTAAATAAAAACCAACATTCAGTGGTGGTTTGAATGCCGAGTGTTAAAATATCCAATTGGAACAATCTTTGTTATACTCGGAAATATACTCGTGTAAGAGTTACGAGTAAAAGAATAGATTCTAATTGCTCACTTGATTAAAAAACTTACTCATGTTACGCCATCTGACTGCAAAATGCTAGGTTGAATGGGATCTCAGATAAAGCATTAACTATACAGTTTTCAATAGCATACGAGTATGCACATAAGCCAGTTTCGTGTTCGTATTAAAACTTTTCAAATTTTACGTTCATAGTTGAAGTTTCCGAGTTGGATACATACGTAACCTTTATCCGTCCATGCTCCTTTAACTGTATTACAAAATTCTTTGAACCCCACTTCGTATAAATAAAATGACAGTAACAGATTTCTTTGGCTTTTCTTTTGGATACAAATACTTGCACTCCCCTTTTCTTGGAAAACTACAGACATGTTGAATTAAGGAAAATTTAAGTAAGTACATAATCTCATACCTGCCATTCAATGTCTTTTCTGTTTCGATATCTTATAGAAATATTCGATAATATTTAAAAATGTGTTTTCGGTCTAGTTCTGAGAAATATAATTCAGTTGATGATTCTTCACAAAATATACCATTCCAAAAAAACAAATAAGTATTAATATCTTTATCGCGTGGGTTTTAGTAATATAATGGTCATTGAAACTATCGAAATAAATAAATGATTTGCTTTTCAAGTGATACGAGTGTGGATTATTTTGCGTATGAAATAACGAAGTGCGTCATAAGTTGTGTTCGGCTATATTTAGTACATTTTAATATAAGCGAAAAATACATTAATAATATCAAATAGGTAGTTAAGACTCTTAGAAGAATAGCCATTAATTTCAAATTACTAAGTTTAGAGGATGAGTACCTACTAACAAACACTTAGACCTTCTTTTGCGTAGTCGATCATATCTATACTTATAGCATTAGTTTAGATTGTTGATTTCTTGTTTAGTCATTGTAATGATGAAAATAAACACTATACGTCGAGCTTGAAAAGTGTTATTTTAATACCTAATTAAATATTCGCTATAATTGTAAAATAATTACGTTTTTAGTTCCAAGTTATTTGTCTATTATATTTTATATTTACACTGCTTAAATAATAATGTTATTGATATATTTATCGTTGTTGTTATATATTTTTGGATGCAACTATTTTATGCTACCTTCTTCGTGTTATTGTTAATGTGAAGCGATTCAGTAATACACTTGACGAAGGGTAAACAGAGAGCTTCGCTCTCAGCGTTTAAGGAAATTGTTGGCATTCATAGCAATCAATCCATTGCTTTGTCACAACACCTCGCAGTAAAATTATTTGTCAAAATTAAGGTATTTTATCAAAATTATTACGTAACTATAAGTTAAACATTTGAACGTTAATCGCTATGTGTGCGACCGTCCTTATCGCCATCCTCTAAACTAGTCATACAAGTAAGCTTGAAGTATTATATCGCATAATGTAAGATTACATTAACGTGTGGCAACCAGTATAATATATGTGTATTAAACTTAAACCCAACTTGTAAGCTGCTCGTGTCGTCGTTTAAAGTAATACCGTATACGGTGAACGCTAATGCGGGATTCGTAATTTGTGATCAAACTTAAAGGTCGGGCATTCGAATTGACTTCCCCTATTACGTGATCCATTGCGTGCTCAGATATACTAATACCAAATGAATTATTCAGTAAATAACACCATGTTCTTGATACAATTTTGATGCTCAAATCAATAGTTAGAACCGCACGGAATGACCCCCATTCCTGCACCGTGTCTGTGCGTGATACCTACACGATCGGGGCTCGGCTTAACACAAAAACATAGTAAACCAGTCCATCATTCCGTATCTATGCGTGCAAACAATTTTAAATAGCCCGAAAACAGTAAACAGGAAACTATCAATTCCAAGTTTCCCCATAAAGATTCGACGAGTGGAGCTCCGAGCGATATTCTCCCTTTTTTCACTATCCTTGGCCGTAATGATATATGTTTTTATTTTGTTTTTTTCCTCAGTGTTAATTTTTAATTGCGTTTCGCTCGTCCGTGGGGGGTCGTCGGCCCTCAGCTGTTTCGGGGTTTGTAGCTTTTTTGTTTTGTTGCTGCAGGTGTAGTGGGAGTATTACCCGCGGAAAGTCGTCTCTTGGTCGGGGCGGAGTTCGTAGGCGCGGGCGTGCTGGGCCAGAGCTCGTAACCGCGCAGCAGCTGCCTCGTCTCCGCTTTACCAATTATTCCCCGGACACAACCCATTACGGCTCCCGAAATTACTTACGAACACAAATAAATCTTTTATCAAGCGAATAAATCTTTGGTATTACGATCCCACCTCGCTCA